TCTCTCTCTCTCTCCCCCCGATACTAACCTGTAAAGGTGGCGCCTGGCTGCAGGTACATCGAAGACGAAGCTGGAGCTATGGCGCCGCAGGTGAGTCTCCCTGGCCTCCGCCAACCATCTCTCTCTCTCTCTACTAGCGCCCAGCGCTGAAGACTACTGCTACCGCTACTACACCTCCAGAGTGCTGCTGCTGAGTCCTGAAGACTACCTCCTGCCCTCTGCACGTGAAGTGCCTGGGAACTGCCTGCAGCCTACAAGGTGGGTCAGCCTTATATAGTGCTGGCCCGTCCGGGAGGCTGCTCGTGCTTATGCCAAAACGTGCCAGACCCTGGGGTTGACGCTCCACAAAATAGGCCATAATGGCCTGAGCTAAAACCCTGGTCTGGTGCCTGAGTTTCAGGGTAGGTCGATCTTGCGAGGGCCTGAAAATGGCCCGTCGTTTTCAGGCTGGAGGCCGAAACGACACAGGGCCTGTAGGCCCTCGTTTCAGGCTTTTAGGCTGAAACGAAACAGGCTCTACCCCTACGGACCCTTAGTCTACCAGGTCGGGCTCTGCTGGGCCCGTGTGGTACGGAGTATGCCACACTCCCCCCTCCTTGAAAGACCGAGCTTACTTGCGAGGGCGAAGCTGTCTGGTGGAGGGAGGGACTGAAGTCCGGGTGGGAGGCTGTGCAGCTTCCGTCGCTAGCCGTTTCTTCTCATAATGAGCATAAATGTCAGGAGCGGAGGCTCGCAAAGCTGCCTGGGAAATCCCTCTCGTGTCATCGAGGTCGCACCACTTGAATGTGACTTTGTACTGCATAGGCTTGTTGCCGTGCTTGCGATGCGTGATGACGCGGTCGACTTCCTGATGACCATCCATGGAAGGAGGGTCCTGTGATTGTCGTCCCGGGAAGTCGTTGCTCTTGGCTGGTGTATATGTGGCCAGCTTGGAGGCGTGGAAAACCGGGTGCACCGTGAGATGCGGCGGGATTTTGATCACAAATGAGGGGCCATCGGGATCACCCGCGGCTGATGTGACGGCCATGGTCCAAACCACTTTGGAAGTAGCTTGCGGGATACATCCTGCTCGAGGCCAAACTCTTTCGTGGAGACCCAAACAAGGTTGTCGGCACGGATGGGGCATGGCACACGACGCCTGTTAGCTTGCTGTTGCATGCGGACTTGAACCTTTTGCATGTTGGCGCGGGCGTTAGCCAGCAAGTCCCTATACTTCCGAACGGAGGCGGGCGAACAAGCGGCGTCAATGTCGGCATTCCTTGGAAAAGGAAGATCAGCGAAGATGCGGCCTTTCCGGCCACCGTGGTGTAACTCGAATGGAGTCACGCCGATCGCCGGGTGCACCGAAGTGTTGTAGGCGAATTCGATGTCGGGGAGGCGGTCCACCAAATCCTTCTGATCCGTACGGATGAGTGTGCGAAGCATTACTTGAGCGGTTTGATGTGCCCGCTCCGTCTGCCCGTCCGTTTGCGGATGCCAAGCCGAACTTGGTTTCATCTCAGTGCCGGACTCTTTCATGAGAGAGGTCCAAAATGCCGACATGAACCGAGTGTCGCGTTCGCTGACGATGTCTTCCGGAATGCCGTGGCCGCAAATCCAGCCGGTGTGTAAGAGGCGTGCAAGTTCCGGAGCCGTGGCGTGTTACTTGCAAGGAAGAAATCGTACGTACTAGCTCAAACGGTCAACGACCGTGAGAATGTCGTGGTGCCCGAAGCAGTCCCGGGGGAACGACCCAGTGACGTCCATGGCAATGGAGAGGCCGGGTTCCCGTGGAATAGGCAACGGGTGTAACTCACCGTACGGGCTGCGATTGCGGGGTTTGCTTCGTTGGCAAACTTTGCAAGAGTCGCAATACTGAGTGACGTCGGTAATGAGGTCAGGCCACCGGAATCGCTGCCGAAGTCTTGCGATCGTACGGTTGACTCTGAGGTGGCCGGCGAGTCTCGAGTCGTGGTACTCGCCGAGGAGTACGAGTCCGTAAGCGACGGTCGTGTGGGACGCATAGTAAGTCCTTGCCTCGTGAGTGAAGCAGCAGGTAGCCATCGACGATGTGATAATGGCTGGTCGGCGGGTGATCCGAGGATAGTTGCTCGTAGAGCGTGCCATATTCCGGATCGGACTTGTATGCTCGCACAAAATGCTGATGTAGGGCTTCGTCGAAACTGAACGCGTGGTGAGTCAGTGCGCAAAGATCTGATCTTCGCGAGAGAGCATCCGCGACTCGGTTGGAGAGGCCCGAAATGTGTTTCGGTGTGAAGTCAAACTGATCGATGAAGTACATCCATCGAGCAATCGTGCTGCTCACCGTGTCTTGCGTCTTGTAGTAGGTCAATGGGTTATTATCCATCACCCAAGTGAACCTTTGACGCCCGAGGAGGAAGTGTCGCCAACGCTTGAGTACCGTGACGAACGCGAGCAACTCCTTCCACGTATCATCAACGGAGTTGATGGGAGGCACCTTTTGGCTGAAGTACTCAACCGGATGCCAGTTTACTCCGTCGTGTTGTTCCAAAACTGCACCCATGCCGTAGCCGGAAGCGTCCGTAGTCACTCTCGTAGGCAAGGTGGGATCGTAGATACTCAAGACGGGAGCGAGGAGCAACGCCGTCTTCAATTTGTGGAACGAACTGCGGACTTCGTCGGTGAACTGGAAGGGCACCTGTGGAGACTGCAATCTGGACAAAGGTGCGGCGATCCGTGCGTCTCCTCCGATGAAGCATTGGTAGTACTCGACCAATCCCATAAAAGAGCGAACCTCCGTGGTGTTGGCCGGTTCCGACCAATCTTGGATGGCCTTGATCTTGTCCGCAAGCGGACTGATGCCTTGCGGCGTCACAAAGTGGCCCAAGTACTCGAGCTCTTGTTGTGCGAATTCGCACTTGGCTCGGTTGGCCTTGTACTTGGTCGTACGTAGCCTGTCCAAAGCAGCACGTAGATGCACGATGTGCTCGTCCAAAGTTCGGCTATACACCAAGATGCCATCGAGGTAGATGAGCACGAACCAGTCCAACATGTCGCGAAACTCCATTGTCATTGCCGCTTGGAAGGTGGTCGGGGCATTCGTGAGCCCGAATAGCATTACAACCCACTCAAAGTGCCTGTACCGTGTCTTGAATGCGGTTTTGTACCTATCTCTTGGATGGATCTCGAGCTGGTGGTAACCGGATTTGAAGTCCAACTTGGAGAAATACTTGGCGCCGCCCAAACGTTCGAGAAGATCGTCGATGGGTGGGAGTGGGCCGACATTCTTAATGGTTTGAGCATTAAGCTTGCGATAGTCAATGCATAAGTGAAGCTCCTTGTTCTTCTTCCGAACGAAGAGAACAGGTGCACCGTGGGGCGAGCAGCTAGGGCGAATCCAGCCCTTGTCAATAAGGTCATCGAGTTGCGTTCGAAGCACTTCGAGTTCCTCCTCGCTCATGCGGTAAATACATCCGCGCGGAGGTACGGCCCCGTCTTTGAGGATGATCTCGTGAGGAATTGGCCGATTCGGTACGATTCCGGCGGGGGCTTCAAAGACGTCGCCATAGGAGTCAAGAAGCTGTACAATGCGTGGATCCGGTGGCTGTTCCGCCGCGGGCTCGTCAGGAGGAGGGAGGGCGTGCGAGAAACAAATGCCCATTTCCTCCACGTCGTTCCGTGCGATGGAGTTGCGAATGCTTGCCGCGGAGACCACGTGACAACCAATTGAAGGATGAGGTGGGGGGACCGTACATGGCACAAGTACCCCGTTCCGGTCACGAACGTGAACGGTGTGGCGGTAGAAGTTCACCGGGTGGTCCTCGCTGCGCAGCCATGACATGCCCAAGATTATGTCGAACTTTGTGTCCAATATGTCAAAGGACATGGCCTCGCGTGCAAGCGGGGCGACGTACATAGGGACGGAGTCAATGCACCGCTCAATGGACTTGTGCGTACAACCGTCGGCCAACGTGACTTGCGTGGGCTGCGATTTCCTTCGAACGCGCGGCCCCAGGCCGGCGCGGGTCATGAAGTCCTGGCTGATGTAGTTCCGAGTAGCTCCACAATCAATAAAGGCGCTGCAGGTCGCCTTCCCGATCTGAATGCGGACGTAGAGTAACGGTGCGCCAGTGTCGTCGTACCGTTGCGTGGCGTACTCGCGGTCAATCTTCACAATGTACTCGCGAAGGTCAACAACCGCTACTCCGTCTTCCATCAACGGAGCTGGTACTGCAGCATGCAAGTAGTTGCGTAGCTCCGCCATGAGGGCGTTGCAACGCGGCTTCGGCAAGGAACCAGATGGGGAAGAGGCAACCATTGGAAGTCCTCCGGTGTCAATGGGTCGAGTTCCTCAAGTTTAGACCACACCGACGAGTCCCCTAGTGATGTTGGCGAGGATGCTGGTTCACTTGGCGATGGTGATGAAGTCGCACACGCAAATGAGTCTTGCACGTGGAGAGGTTGGTCTAACGGCGGGACCAGCTGGACAGCATAGTCTTCATAATCTTCGTGAAGACTGGCAACATACGCATGTTCCCCGGACGTGGAGGAGGTTGTTAGCAAGGCAACCGTGTCCGGCGGAGTAGGAAATGGAGTCGCCTCACTTCCCGTGAAGCTCAGTTTCCTGAGCTTTGCCGTGGACGGACGTCTTCTTTGCCTTTGTCAGGGCATTGCGACGTCGTATGCTTGGTGCTGTTGCACCAGTATCAGCAGTTCCACCTCTGGCGGAGTTTGTATTGCTCCTCCGTGAGGCTGAACTTTTTCCATGGCTCATTCGGCTGTCCGGCTCTTATTGTTGATGCAGGTTTCGCCTTCTTCTTCTTCTTCTTCTTGTTGCGCCGTGGCGGAAGGGCGTTGACTCCGTCTCCTTCACTAGACTCGTGAGTCATCACCTGGTCGTTCTCTTGTCCATTTCCTTGGACAGCAGCGACTTGCTGCGGCCGCGGGCCTTTGCCCTTTTCCATCATCTATAGCTTAGTGATTTTCATCATGGCTGAGGAATTTTCATCATGGCTGAGGTTACTTCTTGTAGGCTTGCTGGTGGAGTTTAACAACTGGGGGGTTTCTTGGATAATGCCTGTGTGGCAGCAGGCTTCCTTCTGAGATCTGACAAGAGAGTAATAAAGATTGAACTGTTGCAGCAATAGGCTGACGTTGTTGACCGCCCACAGCGGGGCGTCGAGTGACGGACAACGGACCACAATTGGGTTGTCGGGCAGTGACCCTTCTCTTTGCGGAGATTCTGGGTTGCCTAGTACTTGAGGTTCTAATGACGCCGATCGTACTTGCCGTAGGGTATTTGGTTGAGGAATCGGTTGATCGGCAGGAGCGACAGCCTTGGCCACATGATACGGGGTTGAATTCTATTGACGGTCGGGAGAATCTGCCTTGTACGTCGTGCTTGACTGTGTCTGTGTGCCGGATGTGAGGGAAGTGGAGAATCCACCTCAGCAAAAAGAGGCTTGGAGGTAGTGGTGGTTTACGAGCCATCAAAGTACATATTGCTGCCGAGTATTAATGACAATGCAATGAAGTGATGACATAGTAATGAAGTTGCATGAATGCATACCTGAGGGAAAGGGCCAGGGGATTCAGAAGCAGGAAAGACAGGAGAGTGCATTAACCAAGAAGAAGGTGCAGTCTTACCTGCAGGATCAACAAAAGAATGCATATATTCCAGAGCTTGAGCAACCCCAAGGAGCACCTGCAGACGCCCATGCCAGCTCAGAGGGGAATACTTCTTGCCTGAGTCGGAACAAACATGCGTAAGCAAATTAAGATGCTGAATCAAAAGAACTCAGCAACAAAGTGGTGACGAGATTCCAGGACAAACTGTCAAAGTGGCAGCGAGCAAGAGCAAACAGCCCTGAATCCAGCACAGAACACATGCCCACACCCACACACACCCATGTACACACACAAAATATAAGGTGCAAGTGAGCTGACAGGAAACAGTGTAGCATGTATCCTGCGCTCAAGTACACAGATTGCACAACTCCAAATACAGCAGAGAAACTGTCATTTCACCACAACATCATTATCATTTGGAAATACCACAAGTGAAGACAATTTCAAATATGATATCTATGCAGCAAGGTGGAAAAGGGGTTGCAGTGGAGCTTGTTTACACGCACNCAAGTGAAGACAATTTCAAATATGATATCTATGCAGCAAGGTGGAAAAGGGGTTGCAGTGGAGCTTGTTTACACGCACACACACACACACACACATACGCACGCACGCACGCACACCCACGCATGCACCCACTCACTCCCCCCAACACCCACACACCCACACACACCAACAACAACAACAACAACAACAACAACAACGAACACACACACACACACACACACACACACACACACACACACACACACACACACACACACACACACACACACACACACATGCAGGGGCAGATACACCAAACTATGCAACCCATGTACACATAACGGAGACCCTAATTTTCAAACCACTTGCCATGCCATTTATAAGAAAACCAAAGAGTCATTTTAAT